CAGAAACAAAATAAAACTCACCAAAACAGTCTTTGTAAGTCTTTCAACATTTTTTTTAGCTCAATAATAAAAAAAAAAAAAAAAGTTCTCAGGCAGGCAGGTGACACTGCCCCATAACATGCACGTGTGAAAACAGGCACTGCACCGTAATAACTCTGAAAACCTTCTACTAGTAAAGACCTTGGGCTTTACTATATTTGGAGTTAGGGTGAGTCAGTGCTCATTCCAGTCAGAGCTCAATGTGGAATCTCATGAGAGCTGATACATCCTGTCTGCATCTTTGCCCTGTCGTTACATTACTGATACTCGTATGGCTGACTAAAAGATCCAACGAAGCTTGCAGGAGTGGTAAGAAATGTGGGACCCATGTCTAGTGAGGCTCCCTAGCAGGTGGATCTGACCCTTAAAGTGGGAAAAACATGTTGAATTGACTGTATTTCTTTACTGAATTGATTTTTGACTTACACTGAAATGTGTTGCTTCTGGCATAGGACGCTCATAAGTACACAGATATTTTGTTGTTTTGTATTATCATTACCTATGTAAGGGGATAGTGTGTGTCGCTCTAGCTTGTGAGCTGTGTTGTGCGCATCCCGCCGTTTGCTTTTTCAGTGTGTGACAGAACTCATCCCTCAGTAAGGAGAGATGAAGGGGGAAATAGTGGGAGTGGCGGGTGCTGACAGAGAGGTTTGGACAGATGGACAGACAAGACAGGATGTGCTCTGTCAGCACTGTCTCACCTGACGAGATGGGACAGAAAGATGGAAGGACGGGATGGGAGAAGGGAATGAAGTGCAGGGAAAAAGAGACCAGCCTCCCTGTTTCCCATCACTACACCTACAGAAATACACACACTCTTTCCATCTCTCTTCATAATTTTGTCTTTGTCTTTGCTCTTCCATAGTCTCCTCTGTAAGGTGGATAAGGACTCCATTGGGATTGGGATCCTGCGTGGGGTCCCAACACAAATCCAGCAGTCGGCAATTTGGACTCTTTTTAAACTATTTTTGTGAGTCAATGATCACATTGTCTCAAACTACTAGTTTATTAAGAATAAACATAATGTGAGGAGATCAGACATTAATGGGTAACTTTATTTTTCAACAATATTTTCCCATATTTTTTTTGTCTAAGTGACTAATGGGAAACGCTGTTTTTGAGAGGGCTGCAGCCAGCAGCCAGGCAAGTGGCAGCAATGTAATCCTTGGGCAATCGCACACCATCAAAGAACATTGTTGTTGTTGCCACTGACAGGCTCAGATTGCTATAATAAATGTCTGACGACATAATAGAAAGGATCCCTACATAGATAGATGTTACTCTTTCACAGCCTAACAAGTTAGCTGTGATGATCTGTGCCGAAAAAATAACGTTGTTGTTGTTGTTGTTATTATTATTTATTACTGCAACTACATTACCAGGTAAATTGACACTGAAAAATAAGCGAGTACATCATACTGCGGACAGACGGAACACACACAGAGATCTTACTTGGCTGCCTGGCAGGGTTTTCCCAGCATCCTGTAGACGACAGCCTGCCGTAAATGGTTCTGGAAGTGGCTTGGGTTCAGCTGGATACTCCTGGTTTACAACATACACACACACACACACACATACAGTTTAACAAATGCTGCAAATATATTTGATAAAATATAACTGACCCTTAAATCTGCTTAAAACTACCATACAGTTTCACAGTGACAAACTATCTGACCCATTCTATATATTGGACAGCTGTCCATTTTTTCTGTTTTGTAAATTTCCAGATTTGAAAGACAGATGCTGATAATATGCCAGACAGTGTGATGTGTTGCCTGCAATGTGTCAGAGGTGGCACACGTCTTTCGTGAGACCAAGAGTTTATGTGGTTACTTTTATTTTAATGTAATATTTTGTGATTAACATTTTGTGATTATTATAACATAATTAAATTACTTCTTAGGTGCATTAAACACCAGCTAATGCTGACAACAACAACCATCATGCTTGATGTGTCCGATTTTCAGAAAACAAAGCCCCATCTTGATGCTATATATGCTAAATGATGAAGCCTGTAATTCTAATTGTAATGTAATTGTAATTTTATCTCACTGATATCAGTCTCACTGTTGACTATTCTATCTCCTACAGCCTCATCAGCTGTATGAAGTTACTGCTAATTGATTGTAAATCAACAGGATTAAAATGTGCTTTTAGATGGAGGTGGTTCTGCCACCACGTTGTTCTCAATGTAAACAGAAGCCATGCTGCCACGGTCTCTGGATAGCAGCAGCCAGGGGCCATGACTGTGCTCTTCTGATGATTCAAAATACAGAAGCTAAATGGTAACACATCTTAGCTAAACTGTGCAGCAGCTGAGGATGATGGGAACATTTTTACTTTTGCAAGTCATATCAAGGGGGCCATCAGGAATGTGTTTACAAAATTAAGTGTGAACCTATGGTGACGTCACCCATTAGTTTGTGGAGTTTTGATGCCGTTGCGACAATCTTTCAGAGCCAGCGGAAGTGATGTACTGCAAGTTATGCTGCTCTCATTGGCTGCGCAGTTTCGACTCGTCCATAGCTGGAAATAACGGTGGCTCGCTTGGTCACACACGTTATCGACTATTTTACTTATTTAATGGGACGATCATTTACTAAATGAACATCATTCTTAATGAACTAAAGATTGAGGCCATAAACTCATGAGCAAACTGTTTACTGAGCTAATGAATCAAGTAAGAAGTTGGCTAATCCATCCAAGAGGCTTAATACTCTTGGGCTTCTTTTTTGCAACCAATGGAGCTCCCCCTACTGGCCTTTACATACAATGCAGGTTTAAGACATTTCTGTGTTGGCTACACTTCACAGACCTGGAATCTCTGTCCATTATATATACTGTCTATAGGCATGACAAATCAGTGACTGTATTTGACAACCTTGGATGAGAACATATTGTATAATGTAATAATAATAATGTATTCATTCGATTCTAGAAGCATTTGTCCACTATCTGAAACTGTATTTGTGTTAATGAATGCTCTCCTTTGGTCTTCACCGGAGGCTGTTTGGTCTCATGTTTTGCCCCTATTGTTGGGCTTTTAGGATTGTCGGCCTTCCACTCTAGCCCTACCATAAGTGTTTTTTAGTATGCTTGTCCAAGCCAGCTACAGTTCTTATAATTTAGAGGTTACCATTGCTTTATAAAGCTGAATGCTGGACATGTGCACACCTAGACCTGGATGCTCTGTCCACTATACTGTACATATTGTCAATGTACAAAATCTCATGAACTCGTGAACTTAATTTTGGCGCTATGAAAATTCAAAAGATTGCTTTCTACTTTAAACCTTAAAATGCCTCATGTTCAGTGCCAAACAAATGCTTACAAAATAGCAATTTTCTTCACATAGTGTACAACATACAGTCTGTACAACAGTGTCGGCTCCAGAAAAGATTCAACAGACATGGTTCATTATCTTGATTTATTGTAAAGGTTATTTTAAGAGATTTTATGCTCTTATTGAAATATTTGAAGTGTGTGTGTTTTGGCCCCTTACAAAATAGCGACCTCGACGTTATAGTGTGTTTCTACAGTATGTGATGAAGTACATTTACCAGCTATTTTGTGAGGAGCCAATCAGACACACCCAAGCCAGTTTTCAGGGGTTCCTTTTGCAGAAAGCAGAAGGCTCTCAAAATAAGCATTTTCCAAAGACCACAAACTTAGTGCTGTTGCACCACACCGACTTTGACAGAACGAGCATGAGATGAGACGAGTAAACAAGAAGAGGAAGAGAGGAATGCAGCCTTGCAAAAAGAAACAATGAAAGCATGGTGGCATGCACAACAGAACCCTGCAGACAGCAACATCAGACAGACAGACAAAACCAGGCAGAAGAACCAGAGGGAAACGACCAAAAACAAGGCAGCCGCAACGCTTCACACTTCAAACATGGACAGTGCTCTGCTGTCTGTGCCAATACCTGTTCTTTCCACTGTGTTTCTCCACCTCTCTGCTCCTATCAGAGGATAAATGAATGACTGTCCCAGTCTGAGGGGAATGCTAAATGGGTGAGGGAACCAAAGAACAAAGCATCTGTAGCTGGGATGCTCTGAATGAAATGATCTGTCAAAGTAAAATTTTATTTATATAGCCCAAAACCACAATTCGCCTCAGGGGGCTTTACAATCTGTACAGCGTACAACATCCGCTGTCCCTCGATTTGGGAAGGCAAAACCACCCCATTAATGCTCTTTTAACAGGGAGAAAATGGAAGGAAATGGAGGAGCTGCAGAGGAAGAATCCCTATAGCAGGACAGACAAACCACTCTCTCTGATCGGTTTCACAAACTTAATAACGTAGGTCAGGAGTCATTTACCCTGTGTGGCCCAGAGTGGGGTGTTTTAAACGAACCCCCACATACACAATAAATATACAGTCAAGTAAAAAAGAAAAACCTGGGCCACACTTATCTCCTCATTCAATTCAGTTTTCTCACTCTGTACCTCGTCTGAACTCCGTCAGCCTCTCTCGTGCGCGCTAAGCTGCGCTGTCTGAAGCGTTTCCATGGCAACAGTGCATTCAGTTGTTCCTCCACGGCTGTCACAGTAACCTTGACTCTGCGTCGATTCAGGTCCGGGGCTGCTTGGTCCGCAGTGCCATAGATCCGTAGATCCGCAGTCCCAGTACACTCGTATCTTTGTGTAGGGCGTCTGGTACCGGATCCCCTTCTCCTTCAGTGCCGCTCTGATGGGCCCGTATGCCTTGCGCCTCTTCATATTGTCACTCGCTTAATCGTTGTCGTTTGCCGTTCATCTCAATCTTCTGCTGCCAAGCTTTCTTAAGTATCAGCCCTTTAACGTGGAACTGTAAAAAGTTTACTATTATTGATCTCGGAGATGATGTAGCGGCAGGCTTTGGGATCAGTGCTCTGTCCGCTGAATCTGGAGCTCCACTCCGTCAGGCAGGCTAAGATCACTTTTAAACAGTTCATTTACAAACTCAATGACTGAACTCTCCTCTTTTTCTCCTGGCCCTTTCTTCTTGAACGGCTCTCCAAATCGACAGGTTTGTCCCGCATCTCCGTGTTCTCTTTCACCACGGTCAGCAGTGTGTCTCTGATCTCCAGGCAGGCTGACTCCAGGTCAGCTATCCGTTTGCGCCTCCGCAATGCTAGCATTTTGACTGTATCTTTAAACTCCGCGAGGTCTTTCATAGCTTTATTAACATCGTTTTTAAATTCACTCAGGTCCGTCCTCACATCTTCTTTAAAGTCTTTTAACTCTTTAGAGAGTAATGTCAGACCTTCAAGCAGAGCGTTTTGGTTAATGCTAGCTGCTGCGTTAGCTTCCTCATGTTCAGCAGACTTGTTCATCTCCGAGTTTTCTTCAGGTTTAATTATTTTCTTGTTTATCTTCTGACACCTTTGCAGTTTCCCTCCTCTCATACTTCGTTTAAAATATTTTCAGTACTATTTATATTGATAGGAGGTACTTTTACCAAACCGACTAGTAGGAGCTCACCTCTATGCGTCCATCTTGCTAAAGCACCGCACCGGAAGTCCCGGTGTCAGAGTATTTTTCCATTGTTGTAGTGTAACTTGTAACTGATCTGCATACTTCTTCTACCACAGCTAAACAGATCTGATGGAATTCAGTACTTTCCAGTGAGCTTAACAGACTCAAATGTCCCTATTACATTTGAAAATATTCCTGATGTTTCACTAGTGGCAGTGTTACATTTATACCTCATGACCTTACCCAGATTTATCTTAATGCATCTTTTAGTAGCATAATGTTCTGCTGTAAGTACTAAACCATGAGTTTATAATACTATGATCTTTTAGCCCAGTATCAGTATAAATGGATGGTGAGATAGAAGGGGCAGGATATTTGTCAAAAACCCAACTCAGGACCATCATTACCAGCCTGTGGCACTTTGCAGTTTTTTCTCTCACTTATCGCCTGTTACTGAACGTTGACTTTGAGGTCACAGCACTGTTTGGTAGTGATGTTTTGTTCTCAAAATAAAGATTCTTATAGGCCAAGTCACCATCTGTTGCATCCTCGTCTGAAAAGTGAACTTCTCGATAGGTTTTAAAGTAACCAGATAAAAAATACACCAAAACCATCATGGGGAACCAAAGCAACCTGTCATTTCCTAGAACACTCCTACAATGCATTAAAAATCAGATTGCAACTACCGACCAATATAAGAAGTGTCTGAAGCAGATTCATTTCCTTAAAGCAGCTGTGCTTTTTAGCAATGCCACTTCAACATAATGAAGGCTGTAGTGGAATTTATATAGGCAATACATTTATGATGTATATTTATGATTGTATAAATATGTTCATAATAAATAACAGTTCAATTTCTTATCAACACAACCTTCTCACTTAGATGTCATAATATGAGAAACGCTGCTAATGAAATGAACAGTGATTAATTGTTTGTATGTTAATGAGCTAACACTGTCATTACTCTGTATTACTGTCAGTGCTTGATGACTGGCACACCTGTATTCAGTTGACCTTGTATTAATTTGATTAGTTACAACTGTATTCACCCTGAATGCTGCTGGGTGGGTGGGGATATGGTAATGATATCACTTCTAGTTCATGAGCACAGTGAGTGACGATGCTCACCAATTAGTTGTCAGCTGTTAAAGTAATCGCTAAATATACATAATTTTTTTATTTCAGCTTATCAAATGTGAACATTTTCTAGGTTCTTTAGGCCTCTATGACAGTAAACTGAATATATTTGGGTTGTGGATAAAACAAAACATTTGAGGATGTCAGCTTGGGTTTTGGGAAACACTGATTTTTCAATAATACTTTTTTAAGCAAATTACTCCAGATGCTGCGCATCATTATATGAATGTGTTAGTTCCTGTTTGTGATGGACTTTGCCATCACTGGATGAATGTGTATGAATGGATGAATGTGGCATGTAGTGTAAAAGTGTTTTGAGTGGTTGGATGACTAGAAAGGGCGCTATAAGTACAGGTCCATTTACCATTTGTATTTTCCCAACACATAATTGAGAGAGGGAGGCGGGCTGGGCCAACTCAACGACTCCAAGCATCACTCAGGGCTCATGTTCACTGTGTGTAGTACGTTCAGCAAAGGTGGGAAGTAATGAATTACAAATACTTGGTCTATTGAGTGACCAATGGTAACTACTGGACTACCAACAAGTAGTCAGTACATTATCACATTGTCAGACGTAAATATGAATCCCACTGCTTTTCTTGCCAAGACAGCCAGCCGGGGGCAATTTCAGGCCCTTTGGCCCATGAGATGATGTAAAAAAAAAGACAATATAATTTGACCCACAAGATTGTTTTTCTGTTTCAAATAAATTTAAACTATCCCTTCATATACAATAAAATAAAAATGTACTTCGTTTGTTGCAAAGTATTTGCAAAGGTCAAGGCGTTCATTTGGTGTTTGGCTGAGAACAGCAAAGATGATATAAAAATGTATAGAAACAATGTGTTTTGCATTTTTTGATGTAGTGTGTAAGTATGATGTTAGCAGTGCTGGCAAACGATTAATATATTTAATCGCAATTAATCACATTAATGTCATAGTTAACTCGCAATTAACTAATTAACTCGCACATTTTTATCTATTCTAAATGTCTCTTGATTTCTTTTTGTCCCATTATTTTTTCTCATTTTAATGCTCTTATCAACATGGAAAAGTGGATCGGCTTGCTTTGTGCAAATGTTGTTTTTATTGAAAACAACATTGGCATATACTGTAGTGTCCAATTTCACACTAACATTCTCACGTGGAGCAAATAATCTCTCACACAATGTAACACTGTCCATCAATAAAAGGGTGAAAAAATACTTTGTCACACAAACAGCCCCTTCAACAGCCCCTTCTAAGGGATCAAAACAGGGCGACACAAAGTTCATCATAGGCGCATGAAACACTTTAATGTAACATATTTTATTTTAAATGTAGGTTTGAATTATAGCTTACTGTTCTTAATACCTTTATTTTGAAAACCGGAAGTGAATACGCTGTAAATCTAAGTGCAGCTGATTTGACCACGGAGATCAGAGTAACGGCTGGCTTGACCGCAGTTATCATATCACAGTCGTTATCTCGAGATCTCGAATTAATTATATCGTTATCTCGGGAAAACAAAGTTTCGTTATCTTCAGATCTCGAGAAAATTAACTCGTTATCATGGAAAAACGGAGGAAATAAAATGTATGAATGCATGGCCCTTTAGGGCTTCCGTACATGTAAGCTATTTGCATTGTTTATTTTGTTTAGGTAAGCACAGGAGCTGTTGGATAATGAGACAGCACTGGGAGAGCCTCAGCTTCAGTCCAGGCAGCGGTATTTGGCGGTGTTGCTATGACTGTGTGGGAAGTGTTTTCCTTGGGTCAAACCAGGGGCCTCAGCATAAGTTTGCTAAGGGCTCCAGGGAGGCCAGGGTCACACTGCTAGAAGCTGACTAAACAGCGTCTCTGTCTCCCCGTCTGCTCAGAACTAATGAGGCAGAGATAAAATAATGCAAGCATGTTGGAGAGGGAATAGATTGAGGGTGAAGAGTTTAGAGGAGGAGTGAAAAGAGGCTGATCCATTTATGGATCTGACTGTCAGTATGAACATGATACTTTCTCCTGAGCTCTCGATCGGTGCTAGAGGGTGGAGGTGTTCAATATTGTTTGGATAAAATATATTTCCTATGGGGCAGATTCAGCCAGTATTGGATTCCAGCAGAGAAGCGAACACATGGAGCATTATGGAAATAAGAGCCAGCAATAATAGTGTTCCTTCATCAAAATGCCTCTGAGCTATCATAATAAACCCACAACGAAGGCTCTACTCTGTCTATCAACTGAATGTGGCTGCATGCATGCTGCCACCCTGAGGTGCTGAAGATTTAAATGGTCTGCTCAAGAGCACAGTGGCAGCTGACAGCAAGCTTATAAATATTATATATATATATATATATACACACAAATTAAATTACACAGCAGCCATAAAGCTGTTCAAGTTTTAAAATCCTCTAATTAGTGTGCCTGGAAAGCACACTACTATTATCCCCCATACTTATTATTATTCTTCCGTACGTTTTTCGGCGGACTACTCCTCCCGCAGTTTTGGTCGCACATACACAAAAAGGTACCAAAACGTGCGGCTCGGTGGGGACATTAGTGCTATGACTTTTCTAACCGTTTCACCAAACAGTTTGGGGATAAATCGCCAAAAACCAGGCCAAAAAATGAATGGGTGTGCATTGGTAGAATGGCCAACTGATTTTAACAGCCGTTTCACTTAGAGTGGAGTGAGAGAGAAATATTTGTCGAAAAATAAATTTGTAAAGGCCACAAATGTCACTCTACAGAAATAATTTATAGATAGAAACGTAGGTAAATTTGTTGGGGTCACAGTGATACCACTGCTGAAGCTGTCAGACAAATAGTTTTGGCAGGAGACGCACTGATGTGCCAGCAACACCCTCTCACGGCCCCATCTAATGCCATGTTAATTGTAGAGGAGAAATGTTTAAAGGAGCTCGTTGAACCTCTCTTTTCTCAATCTCCCCAGGTCACATTTTTTAACTTTAGCCACTGAAACTCGGCAGTCCTATAGTCAACAAGATGGCGAAGCTCACGGTCTTTTTGGTTTTCATTTCGGTCGTTCCTGGCCATGGGTTCGAGGAGATTCATTTCAAATGTTTCTGTCTCTCTCAAGAGTCTCAAGTGCTGTGGCCTCCCCTGGTTGCCATGACAACCAAAGCCTGCCTGTGAACACACACACGCACACACATAGCTAGCTTCAGAGGAGTATTTAAGCTATTAATAAGCTAGCGCTAGCTAGCTGGCTAGCTAAAGATAATTAGAAGGTGGCTAACAAGCAAACAATTTAAAGCTGAATGATTTTAATATTAACACAAAATAAGTTCAATACACCTTAAATATTTTAGCTAGCGATTAGCGGTTAGCTAACGATTAGCCCGTAGCTAGCGATTAGTGATTAGCTTAGCGCTAGCTTTGGTTAAGGTGTTTATGTGTGCTAGCTCTAGCTAGCTAGCTAAAGAGAATTAGAAGGTATTAAAATGCTAGCGCTAGCTAGCTAGCTAAAGAGAATTAGTAGGTAGAAGAAGGTATTAGAAGGCTAGCTAATTAATTAATATGCTTTGCTTGCTAGACAGGACAAGCTACTAATGTTCTAGGGCAAGCTAGCTACACAGAACAAGGTATGAATGTGCTAGCACTCGCTAGCTAGACAAGACAAAGTTCATCAAGTTAGATTTATTTTGTGAGGAAGAAGACACTCAGACTGTTCTAACTGCACTGTTGTTTTCGGGCTGAAGGTGGTGTTTCAAAATAAAAGTCTACAA